AACCTTGGAAGACAGCTGGGATTCTCTCCGGAGAAACCTCAGTTTGGCTTAAAGTCTGGTCCCATGAGCTAATTAGGAAAGACTTGACAGCCAGGGACCCGGCACGCCTGCCGGTGGTCTCAACCCAAGGCAGAATCTCTAAGTCGCAGTAACATACTAATCTTACTTCCCTCCTTTCCTTGTTCTTAATTTGCCAAAACTTAAGCTAAAAGTGCCAGTAAAATTGTTTGGTTGTTAACATCAGAACTGACGTTTTTACTGTTCTACATAAGTAATCTGAGTTGATGTGAATTGAAATTCGGACGCGGGTTTTATCTCATTTAACTCAGACGCTTGTTATAGGAATAAACACAATCAAGTGTAACTTATGATCTGTTCAATTTGTGTAAATAAATGATTGCATAGTCTTTTATGAATCAACTTGAACTCGTCTGAACGTTCACTTATTGTGTCACTTTTCACTTCGCTCAGTCAAGATATTAACAAGTAATGAGAAATACCTTGGTAAAAGTTTCCTCATAACCTTGTGTATGAGAGATGTGGGAAAAGCTTGATTCACCTTACAATCCGATTAGTGGACTAATCGAAAAAATAATCTGTGATTGATCGATTATAAAAATAATTGTTTTTGGCAGCCCTAGTTACAGCATCATATATAATATGAAATATTATATTATATATGATTTTTGTTAAGATAAGAATCTTTTGTAAAAAAAAATTCACACCGCTGACGTGTTATTTGCATGTGAAGTAACAGGAAGTGATGTCAAAGGGGAAAGTCTGCATTTGAACAGAACGTACACTACTAGCAGTACACTGTGTAGAAGAATCACATTTCTTTACATTATTTTGAGTCTATCAGAGATATGAAGAGTCAGAGTTCAGATGTTTTTTAATAAAGACCAGGGAGTTCTTTGATGTCACTTCCTGCTTCACTTTGGCTGAGCCACGTTCAAAAGAAAATATGCCAGTTGTGGCAAAATGGGTAAAGTTGTGTTTATAAAGATATAAGGATATGCATGTCACGACCACTTCGTTTTTACTACCATAACTATCATTTTGCTGATAATCTTCACTATTTTTACCACACCAGTGTATTTGCATCAATACAGCAAAAAAATTTAAAAAAAAATCGTTTCACTTTTTGTTAAAACATGTCATATTTTGGTTTTTTTAACGTTTCAATAGATTTTTCTCACATTTCTCTGTGGCAGCCCTCAGCTTTATTCCAGCTCCTGTTGACCTGGTTCATGTGGCGCACAAAGGCTATCATTTATCAAACAGGTCATTGTGTGTCTTTATGCGTGTCTGGCGTGTCCTCTACACTTTTTGTCTCCCCTTTGAATCACTGTAAAAGCACAAGCAAGATGACTTTCTATCTCTTGAAATAAATGCTGGTGAAATGCACGGCCTTTCAGGCTTCCTGAAAGTTCACCACACCCAAGTCTTTCTCAACACACATCCAGCACCAAACTGTAACACGTTTCCTCAGATCTTTTGCACAATAAAAGACTATTAAATGTTACATTTTATTGTGCAAATTTGTAGTTTTCTCTCTTTATAACTGTTTTTAGCTGTTTTTAGATTCTAATGTTTTAAATTCAATGATTTTTATGCAGTTAGTTTTTAGCAAAGATCCCGTTCTTCTTTAAAACTGCCATTATTTAGTAAGAGGAAATGGTTTGTTTCTTTGTCAGGGTGTGAAAAGAGTTGTCCTGTTTTTAGTGCAAACTTCTATCCTGTGACTTCCTCATCACACTCTATAAAAACATGCGGGTAACGTGGCAAGGTCGGCGATCATTTCTAGCTTTGTTTATTATTGCCTTGCCACAAACCAAAGCAGGAGTTCCCCATGACTTCAACCCTTCTGTGAATCACAGAGCAAAGATGGAGCGATGCAGCTGAGCAATATGTGACCCAACACATCGAAACGAGGATTAAGTCCAAAAGTGGTATATGGAGAAATAGGCAAATATAGTGTTTTGACTAAAATATTAACAAAATTTGCATTTTGTCTAAATTTAATGAATAAAAGCCTTATCAATGTATCATTTGAATAAACTGCCTGAAATATAGTCATAAAACAAAATTTTGAAGCACTTTTTTGAGCAGTAGCAACAAAAAAGACTGATTTTGAGGAAAAACATCTTAAAATTTTGAGATTTTCCCTGTGAGCTAGCAAAGTTTTCTTTTTAGCTGGGAAATCTCAATATTCAAATACAAACTGTTTCCTCTTTATAAGTACATGAAATATTCCTCATTAAAAAGACGTAAAATTAGGATTCAGACCAAATATTTATGTATTATTGTAACCAACAAAACAAATTGTCATATATATATATGGATTTAATTATAACAGAATGATCCATGAATCAAAATGCAGCTTTTTAAAGGCAAGAATCTGAAAATGTAATTAGGTTATTTTGACCAAATTTGACTTAATCCTCATTTCGACATGATGGGTCACATATTTTCAGAAGTAGCTCTTCTCACTTTTCTGCAGGCTGTTGCACTGTTGTTGCCAGCTGCTTACTCCAGCCTGACAGATTAAGCACTATTATTTCTTTGACATTACCTAATGAGAACAATGCCACAGACTCATGCAGGAATTACTCCCTCCATCCCTTTCCTCCTAGGGTTAGACGTGGTTCTGGCTTATGACTTTACGTGCTGTGGGTCGGAGCTCGTGCCAAAAAAAATGGGGCAGCTTTCAGTGTTTGGAGAAGAGGCATTACAAAGCAGAAAGTTGAAGAGGATAAAGAAAGTGAATATAAATCGCTTTTTAATTCAGCATCTGTGTACCAGGACAGCTGACGCACTCTGGTGGCACTGCTCCAYCCCCCCAACCACATTTTTCTCTTCTCCCTTACTGTGGCGTTAGCAGTAAAGCAGCACTACCAGGAGCTGCGCAGAGGCATGCATGATGAAATGTGACATCTGGGGGGTTGGCCTTTGGAGAACATCAGGGGCTTTATGGGCCGTCTCGAGGGGGCTGCAGTGCCGGGTTGTCAGCCGCGTGCGACTAGAGCTGGTGAGCGTTGACGAGTTCACATAATCCCTGCTCCATGTTGGAATGTCATCTGTGGCCCTTGGTTGGCAAACAGCTGAGGAAACGGGTGGAATAATCTCACACAAGCAGGGCTTTGTATTGGGTTCACAGTTCTTTGTCAATGTTGATGCATATGCAGGATATTAGACTTCACTAGTCCTTGCCACTTAAGACATAAAATATGATTTTGCACTGATTTTAAACCAAAAAAAAAGGTGGAATTTGATTAGAATACAACATTAACTTACCCCTTCAGGTAATCAGCATCCTTGTAAAATCACTTCATGTGTGAAAAGAAGTATATACCCAAACCTGTATTTACTTTGCCTCTGGCAATTTACATGTTTTTCAACTGGAAATCATTTGCATTCCTGGAAATTTAGTGTTTGTTAGAGCCTGCTCTAATAGTTGTTCTGTCCTGCAGCTTTTGTCCGTTCTGATCCATAAGAAGTAAGTTAACCCTTTCTTTCTTGTCCTGAAATGTTAGAATCCCTTTGATTTGATTCAAATTCAAATGTCTGCAGCCTTAAATACGACAGCAAAATGGTTGCGTACGCCGTGTTCCACAAAAACAAACGTTGCGTGAAGGTGTGCCTGGACGTATGCAAACACTTGACCTGTTGTGTGAGTGTGTTTACCATTATACAAACATTATCAGTCAACGGTATCACKTTACAAAGTATGGAAACTCCCCTAAATACACAGAAATATGACATCAGGCATCTGAAAACATTTTTTCATAAATTTAGGCATTTCTGGTTTAAAGCCGTACGATGCATGGAACCACTTTTAACATCATACACGACTCAAAAAGTTTCAAAACAACCTTTAATCCAAAGTAAAATGTAATGTTTCCTTTAATTTTATCACATGTAAACGCACCATAAAATACAATTATTCTCACTGAGAAGAAAATGGCATCAGCTCATCATATTAATTCAGAACGAGTCGTGTAGGATGATTTCTCAGGACAAGAAGGTGTAGACAATCCTGTAAATAGTTGCATGAAGTTGTAACTGTGGAACAATGGCAGCTGCTGACTGACGTTGCCAACGCAGTGTGTCCAAGGTTGTAAAATGAAATTAGTCAAAATTACGTTCATTCAAAAGTTTTGAGAAGTAATAAATGTCATCAGACGAGGTATTAGTTTTTGTACAACTAAACAACTTTAATTTTTTTCCCATTTTATCTCCCAAAAAAATGTGAATTTAGTTAATCTAAGTTTATGTTTGAGTAGGACCTGAGCAATGTCAGTGATGTCATGGCGTGGGTTGGTGTGCATTTACGCCTCAGTTGCCTTATTATGCCCATACTGGATAACCTCGTTAGAAGTTAAACTAGGAGCAGYCATGCATCAATAGTTCTCATCACGTTGGGGTTTTTTTGCAACCAGAGCCTTTCAGAGGGCGCTGACTGACAGATCGAGTGTTTCATAACCCTTCCTTAGTCGTGCCATGCCAGCTGTACGGGACGTACTCAGCYGTATGATGCCCAGATAWATCAAATTTCATCRCATMGTGGCTGAAACCTTCCATCAATGTGCAGCGACTTCTTTACGTACACTTTGACCACTTTATTTCAGTTTTAGGCAAGGAGTGGAGTTCAGATCCTGCTGCGTTAACAGTATTTACCATCTTCTGCCATCATTTTTCCTATAACTAACCTYGCAGGACCAAATAAGACTTTACCACTTGTCTCCACCTCTGACACAAGTACATTTATTTCACTTKTACAAAGGTTATTTGGACAGGAGTGTTCTAGATATATATACTATATTACATATTATGTGACACATACTGCTGTATGTGTCATGACGTTTAAAGGAAAGGTACACATAAACATCATAGACTGGGTCTGATAAATCTAAATCTTTTTGTCCGCACGCCAACTTTCAGTGTGAAACTTGCCCACTCTTTCATACGTGACCTTCTGTCTGTGTTTTGTCTGGCAGCTTTTCGACCGAGTGAGGGAGGAGAACCCTGATTTCCATCAGAAGATCGTCCCGATCAGCAGCGAGCTGACGCAGCCCGGCCTCTCCATCAGCTCGGAGGACGTTGAGAAGCTCACCGCCTGCATCAACATCGTCTTCCACTGCGCCGCCACCATCCGCTTCGACGAGCCGCTCAAGTAAGAATCGTACACACACACACACCGTCTGCTTTGTGTTTGGTACACTCACAGCTTTTGTAGCCAATTAACTTTAGAGATGTTTGTTCAGGAACTTCCTGTTAGGAGGTTGTACACAGGAGGAAGTGCTCCCTATTGAGCAGGCTGAATTGTTTGATTAATTTTTTATCAAAAACAGGAAATGGTGCAGAACAGTGTGACAACTCCTCAAACAATAAATGAACCGACTGGATTGTGAGATCAGTTGTTTTGGATGCTTTAATCTTTATTTAAGTTCTTCTTTAAACTTTTCAAGGTTGATGCTCAGTTGTTCTTTGCAAAAATGATTCTTCTCAATTAAACATTTCTCTGCTGTCAGATTTCACTGTGAAATTAAAGTCACTGTAAAGTGAAAAACAAATGCCATCCAATCATTTTAAAATAATAAATCAAATGAAAATTCCTGCCACTACAGTGATTTGTCRTTTTAGAAACCATATTTTATCACTGCCTCTTTCTTTTGTGCTCAAGCTATATTTGCATACGCTGACGTAAATGATTTCAAAAGAGGATGACTCCTTTTTTTATTTATAACTTTGTTGCTTCAAACATCACTAACAAATCAAGATCTGGTTGTAACACTGAGAACAAGCTGTTTGACATTGTTGCTTTTTAACAATGAATATAAACCTGAACTCAAGCACGTTGTTGGTTTTCATTTAGAGGAAGTATGCTGCACCACCCAGCTCAGAACCTGTTTTTAACAGAACCATTAAGTGACTAAAGGTTTAAAATTTATAACCGTAAACAACAGAAAGCTGTTTGATTGTTTATATTAGATAAGTTTAATCAAAGTTACTTATCTTTGATTTGCAGATTAAAGACGGGCGTTTTGTTTGTAAAGTGTGTGAAAATGAGGATGATTATTTGTGAGGTGGGCTTTAGTTTTAGCTCCACAGAGGAACAATYGAAATGACGTGTTTGTTAGAGTAAAGCTGCCGCAGTTCTTTTCACTGAGATCCATATTGATTTTTGAGTCTCCTCGGCTGGCTTCTCTGTCTGTCTCAGTTTCTTTACCTCCCATCTTCTCCTTTTGCTCTCTTCTGGTCATCTCCTCCATCAGCATGTCAGTAATCTTGTACAGCAGCTTTGTAAGCAGTGCAGCGGCGTAAATTAAACAACTCGGAAAGTCTGAACATCACTTCGGTGTTATTTTTGCTCTACAGGTCTTTATTCTCAGAAATCACCTTTTTATGGAAAAAATCTGAAACGTTTTGACAGTTGATGTGGCTTGCTTCTGTTTAGAAAAATCTCAGTTTTTGTTAACAGTTGAGATTTGTGGCAGCAGCAACACTCAAAAAGAAATAAAAGGGCGTAGCATATCTTTTATGATGAGGAGGGATTGGATTATAACAGCTTTGGTTCAACCTCAAATAATGCTGTGCAATTTTACAAAATCTTCCAATATGTGTGGGTGCTCGGGAAAGACTCGATAAATCTCAGCTACTACCACATCAAATTTTAGCTCAACATAATTTACAACTGAAAAACCACTTAAACAGTTAAAACGTTTGGGCACCAGAATCTGATGGACTTTAGATGTTGGTTCAATGTAGATCTGATAGAAAAAAACTGTTAATGGGAAGGGGGTCTACAGTCACCAAGTGGGAGGGTATTTTTTTAAATACAAATATTAATTTGTCCAAAAATCAATGTTGTAAGGTACTAATTGCATGTAATTTGAACACCATACATGTGGAGGGACTTGTAACAATTTGGCTCAGTCAAAACAGCTCTAACCCACCTGGGAGTTAATTTTTATTTGAATATTAGTCAAAACTCAAGACAGGTAGTCACACCAAATTTGAAGTCAATAAATCAAATTTTCTTGTTCATTATCATTTTTATTTGAGACATTGTTGTGTTTTAACATATAAAGAGTTAAACTATACAATACCTTGCCCTTATCTTTAAACTGGCCCCATAAAACAAGTCAATACGACAAATATCGATTTTGTTCATCTCCGCCCACTCCCAAGAAGCTCCGCCCATTTTAAACTCTGCCAATCCCGATTTGGACAAACTCCAYGCACATCGAAGAGCTCCACCAATCACACAGCCAAGAAACTCCCCCCTATGTACTGCAGAAACCCCTACTTTCTTAAAGTGGTCTTACAAAACTTGTTCCAGTACTAAACCACAATATTTAAAAGAGTGATGGCAATAAAAGCCATGTTATATCTTCAGGTCAGAGCTGCCCTGCTCTCGAGTTATAAATGAATCACAGCAGCAAAAAGACAGATGGGTGATGACTCACCTACACACACACACACACACACACACACACACACACACACACACAGTCTGTTTTCATGACTAGGTTTGTGTAACGTTCTGGGTTAGATGGTGGAAATTGACGGGGAGGATGTCACGGTCACGCCCACACTCAGACCTCTTCCTCTCAGAGGCACCGTCCTCATCCTCCTGTCGCCTCCCAACTCTTTCAGTCACCTACAACCTGAAGCTGCCTCCTCTTCTCTTACAGCCTCAGCTGTGCGTTGATGTCAGGATCCACTGACCCGCGCTGGTTCTGACTGTCGCCTTCAGCTGAATACAGTCAGAGATGTTGTGTGGGTGCTTTATTGTGTGTTTGAGTTTATCATCAGTACAGTGCTATTAATCATTTGAAGTTACTTCAGGATGATTTAAATTGATGTTGTCGACTAAAAGTCTGAGACTTAGATGATGTTTGGATATTCTTTTTTATACACTGAGACCATTCCAAAGATTGACTTGTTTCTATCTACGAACATTGGGCCTCATGCAAGAACATGTTTGTATTCTTATCCTAAATTTCTCTTACTTTTGTTCGTACAAAGGGTTCGTACGAACATGTCACGTCAGATTCAACAAACTCTTCTATCTTCAGGAAAAGTGTGTAAATGAGCTGCGTAAATTACACCTGTTCTATCCAGCTGCTCGTGCACGCGAGAGGAGATTAGCATAATTACCACCCCAAAAACACCATATAAGGCTATGTTTCCTGCCTCAGATACCAGGAAGTGTCCATTCATGAAAACCAAAGCGAAAACTAAAAATAAAAACTTTACGAGTTCAGAGATTGAAGTCCGTCTGTCAGAGATCCAGAAAAGAAAATCTGTCATTTTTAGCAGGTCAGCTGTGGAATAAAAGAGCTGCTAAAAGTTTAAACAACTGTGTTAAATCATTTTCATTTATTCAGAAGACACAGCGCTGCGCACCGTACCACCCCCCACCCCGCGCGCATAGTCTCTAGTGGTCTCAGTTGCGGTTCTGAAATAAGCATTTTAAAATGATTTCAAAATATGTCTGGCACTTTGGAGAAAATCCAGGACTCACTGGAGGGATTATGTATCCCCTCTGGYCTGGGAACGTCTCGGAGTCCCCCAGGACGAGCTGGAAAGTGTCGCTGGGGAGAGGGAAGTCTGGGTCTCTCTGCTGCTGCCCCCCAACCCGATCCCTGATAACAGCAGACTGACTGCTCGTAAAATATACGACAGGTCTGGACCACTCGTGAATTTTGTTCGTATCTGAAAAAAAACTTAGAATACGAAAACATTGGTGAATGTCACAAATTCTCCTAAATCACTCGTACGCACAACTTAAGAACAAATCTGTGCGTACGAACRGTTCTTGCATGAGGCCCATTGTTTTGTATTTTTACAGGTAAGAGGTTACCTTGCTTTACAGGTCATTTTTGTAGTTTTACTTTAAGACAGGATTCAAAGACACCATGAAATCATGACCTTCTTTTATTCCTTTCTCTGCAGTCTGTGCTTCTGGGAAATAGTGGCTTAGGTTGATCCTGCAGTAGTAAAGAGAGGATGTGAGGTGCTGATCAGGGATGCATCTTCCCATTTATCTGCATTTTCTTTAAACTTCATTCAATACTGATCATCTAGTGAGTGAAATTTTATCACTGAGGTGTTTGAAGTCACAAATTTACCTCACTTTCTTAGAATTAAGAACCTTTTCCAGTTTCTTTTTGTTAAAAAGGGAGAACTAAAGCTGACTCAGGAGAGCTCCTGACCGGATGAGCTGAAAAATGAGKAATCGGAGAAAATACTAAGATCAACGTATTTGTAAAGAAGAGCAGATGTCCGCTCTTTCTCCCCCCGTTTTGTCTCGTCATCACTCTCCCTCATCTTTTCACGTCTCATCATCCTGTAGAGTCGTTCTGCTCGAGYCTAAAATCCCTCCTCTGCAAATTCCTGCTACCCCGCACCTCCTCATCAGGATAGAGCGCTGAGTCGTCAGCGAACAAACGCACGCTTTTGTTTGGCAAATACAGTTTTTTTTTCCTAATTCTAACTCCTTTTCCTCCTCCACCCACATCGCCCCGCTCCTCTCGCCCCCTGCAGACACGCCCTGCAGCTGAACGTGATCGCCACGCAGCAGCTCCTCAGCCTGGCCCAGCAGATGCACCACCTCGAGGCCTTCATTCACATCTCCACCGCCTATGCAAACTGCAACCGCAAGCACATCGACGAGGTCATCTACCCGCCGCCCGTCGAGCCCAGGAAGCTCATCGAGTCTTTGGAGTGAGTGCGTGGAGAATGTTTGTGTCTCTGCCGAGACGTTTTAGCAATATAGTCACGTGGGGAAGAAAACATCTTTCACAAAGTGATGCATCTTGACTAGTCAGTGGATCCAAATTGTGTCAAACTTTTCCAAAATGAGATTTTTTTTAGTTTCTTGATGGTCTTGTAACTGCTCAGGGAAGGTTTTTTTTATTTGTTTTTGGCAGTAATGCCTCTTGTAATTCAGTGAAGTGATGTATTTTTGGCACCTTGCAGCGTGGAAATATAAAAAAATCTTGTCAAAACCTGATGGCTGAAATAAAGACGGCCTTTTAATGTAATTGCTCTGCAAACCAGTCCTGACAAAGGCAATCAYAACAATCATAATATACTTAAAAATATTGTAATTAAAGTTGCAGTCATACGATTGCATACTTATTATTAGGATATCAGTCGGATGCAAGCTAAAAAAATTAATATAGTTTTATATTAGCCTGCATTTAAAATCTCAGATACAAGCGATCCATTCAGCAGCTCTTGGATCCTGCATAAATGACTTAATTGTACAGTATTCTTATGTTTTAAGTTAAAAAAAATATGTAACCCATTGGTTAATAATTAATGGGACCAGTCTTTCTCATACCTASTGTTGTTGACTATTACTTAGTGTTTGACTTGATCAAGACTTTAAAAAAGTAATAAAAGTACACATGTGGACAAAATTGTTGGTACCCCTTGTTTAATGAAAGCAAAATCCACAATGGTCACAGAAATAACTTGAATCTGACAAAAGTAATAATACATAACAATTCTATAAAAACAAATAAAAGTCAGACTTTTTTTTTAAACCATGCTTCAACAGAATAAAAAATAAATAAAACTCATAAAACAGGCCTGGACAGAAATGATGGTACCCCTGAACCAGTCAGGTTAAATCAAGGTGTGTCCACTAATTATCATCACAGGTGTCTACAATCTTGTAGTCAGTTAGTGGGCCTGTATATAGGGCTGCAGATACTCATTGATGTTTGGTGACATGGTGTGGACTACACTCAACATGGACCAGAGGAAGTGAAGGAAAGAGTTTCTCAGGAGATTAGAAAGAAAATTATAGACAAGCATGTTAAAGGTAAAGGTTATAAGACCATCTCCAAACAGCTTGACATTCCTGTGACTACAGCTGCACAAATTAYTCAGAAATTTAAGATCCRTGGGATTGTAGCTCAGTATAAAGAGCACACTCTGCATTATTTGTACTTTACATTACTTCTTACAAAATCCATCCATTCATCCTTAAAAAAATCGATACAGCATCAGAAAATAAATCATTGCGATATTTCAGTGTATCATTATTTTCTTACACYYCTACCGTACATTCATTTAGTGTTTTAATAAGTGGAATATCTTTTAACTTGCAGCACTCAGATCAATTTAAATCTGTGTGAGTTGGAGAAAAMCTACTGTAAATTAAAATTCATATACATATTTAAAGTGATGGAGGTTGTACGATCATCAGTTTGTGATTTAATTCCTCTGACCGAGCTCTCGCTCCGACTCCAGGTGGATGGACGACGGCATCGTGCGGGACATCACGCCGCGGCTTATCGGCGACCGGCCCAACACCTACACCTACACCAAAGCCCTGGCCGAGTACGTGGTGCAGCAGGAGCAGGACAAGCTCAACATTGGCATCATCAGACCCTCCATCGTGGGAGCCAGCTGGCAGGAACCGTTCCCCGTGAGTCTTCAGGAGCCGTTTTCTTTTTTTCTTCTTATGCAGCAAAACCTCTGATTATTGATGTTCCTCTGGAGGTTAGATGCTGTAACACGTTATGGTCTCTGTTGAGGGTGATTACAAAAGATAAGATTTTCCTAAATTTACTGTGATGCTTTTGGCTCACTCTGCTATCGGTGGTAAATTTTAATTGGTTCTCATGAGTCATCCCGTCAGGGTTTCTCATCACGACTCCTCCTGCGACTGTAAAGTAAGTGGAAAGCAGATATTGATCGCAGTAACCCTGATGGGGTCCGCACTGTTGTTCCCAGATTTAAAAAAATTAATAAAAAGTACATTTTATGTGCTGAAGACCTGTGTTTTTCAACCACCTCCACTCATTAAAGACAAACAGCTGCTGGGGGCAATAAGGACACAGAGGAACGGATCAGTGATGGTGTAGGAGCACCGAGCAGCTCAGCCTAAGAGATTAGAGAAAAAAATGCACTGTTTTCATGAATAAGCTGCTTTCAGGCTACCTGCTGCAGGCATCCTAACATCTTTACCAGTTGATTTGTACATTTAGGCTTTTTACTTTCAAGATTTAGTTATTTTGGTTTTTAAAACTTAAAGTGGTGATTTTGTTTGAGAGATTTTGGATTGCCAAAATGTGGGTTAGTGGTGGGAGAAATCACATCACAATTTGACTTGACTGTGAGACCTGTGAGGATGAAATGATTGATGCATTTCAATTATCTTGATGCAACCCCTCCACCATCACCACATACTACCAATTAATTACTTAACTTCTAGTTGTATATCTCCATTAGCCTTTGTTGACGTTTTCTCATAAAGAACTCCACTTGCAAAACCCTGATATACAGATGACTGCTGGACTGCAGTGCTCTTGCTGTCGTAACTTTTGTTTTGCTAGCGTTAGCTTTTTGGAACTCTTGATACAGGTTTTTATGGTTGTATTGAAGGTGATGATGGAGATTTGTTTTCGGCATGTCTTGCAGAGTACTTGTTTGTAGGGCTGTGTATTGGCAAGAATTTGGCGATACGATACATATCATAACAGAGGGATCACGATACGATATATCCCGATATATTGCGATACTGTAAGCAAGACGCTATATTGCGATTATTTTTGTCCAAAAATTTGATTAAATAAAGACCTCTAAATGAAAAAAAAAGAAAAGCTAATGTTTACTTACAATACTAATGCTACCCTTACTCTCTGGMGCTCAAGAGGTAGAGGAGCCAAACGGCTGGCTCACTGCTGCCAACTAGTGGTCAGAGGCTGAACTACAACATAAAAATGAATGGTTGGCAAGAAGGTTGACATTTTAAACCTTAATTAAAAATCGATACAGGGCTTTAGAATATCGATACAGTATCAGGAAATGAAATATCGCGATATTTCAGTGTATCGATATTTTCTTACACCCCTACTTGTTTGTAGAACTCTCTTGAAACCAAAATACCTCCTTTTTTTAACGAGTTCTTTGTCGCTAATATTTTCCTCACTTAGCTTGCTCAGTTGTTTGCTACATTGGGGGAGGGCATCCACCGTAAAGAGCTCCATCCGATTGGTCAAACACTTGAAGCTTCAGTGTAATTGACAAAATGCATAAATGCAAACATTCGATGCAACATTGAAGTTCGCAGTTTTTTGCGATTTGCCGGTTGCACAGGCTGTTATCACGATGACGGTCATTTTTGGATTGTGCAGCCCTAGTTCACCCCGTAAACTGTCAGATCTCTGCACTTCCACGGTTCTGAGTTCGGCCTTTTTTTTTTTGTTCCCCAACATTACACGAACATTAACAAAATCCATCCGATCATCCATGCATGTAAATGTACCCCTCACCTCGTTCTTTAATAACAAAGGACCCAACTGTCGGCATCTGGTTAAAACTTTTAGTCTGGCAGTAGGTGAGGCATCCTGCCATAACACAAACATTTTGTCATTTAGTTTTAAATGCCAAGAATCAACTTGGTCAAACATCTAAAAGTTCAAACCACAAAGATCTTGTGTTAAGAGAGCTCAAACTGGGGAAATAAGGAAGCTGAAAGCAAACAATAGCTGTAGTTCAAATTTATCTGGATTAGTTCCTCTGAGCTTGAAAAACAGGATATCTGTTATTGAATTTTGCGATTTCTTATAGTTAAATTGTGGGAAATTCAAGAAAATCCCAGAGTTTCTCTCGTAAAATAAATGTAAACACAAAGACTCGGATGGTTCATAAATAAAACACCAGAACCACTGAGGGAAGCATTTGTTTACAAGGAGTTTTTTTTTTCTTTCTGGGACTGTGACGGCAGTCTCTGGCTCCGCTCAGCCTGCAGTTTGTAAGCTCAGCATGGCAGCGCCTCTTCAGATGACCTCGCAGTCGCCTCGGCTGCTTGTGTCGGAGCTGCGAGGAGACGAATGAACATTCAGCCGACCGTCGGTCCGGTCAGCTCCTGCTCACCTCATCTCCCCCGCAGGACGTTATCAGACTGGAGCCTCACATTAAAAACTCCAGCCGTCTGTTTCCAGTAGTTCCATTCATTTTTAATGGGGGCTAATTGAAGTCGGCTATCGCTTCCACCCATCCCTCCCCCCCGTTTCCCACCACCACAGGAAGTAATCTCACCCTAACCCACTCTAAGTGTCTCATTGACGCGCTGAACGCTCTCTGAGGGGTTTCTCTTGCTCTCTCACCTCAGGGTTGGATCGACAACTTCAACGGACCGAGCGGAGTCTTTATAGCTGTGAGTAAACACGTTTGAGTCGAAGGGCTATTCTAACCACGTAGTTAAGTGCTGGAGTCTGAAAGCGCTGTTGTGTAATCAGGCGGGGAAGGGCATCCTGCGCACCATGAGGGCCAGCAACGATGCGGTGGCTGATCTGATCCCCGTGGACGTGGTCATCAACCTGACGCTGGCTGCTGGCTGGTACACGGCAGTGCACAGGTGAGGACGTGCAGCCCTCTCTCAAACTGAAAGCCAAACCCTCGTTCTTTACGCATTTAATACATTATTGTATTCATGTATAATACTAGAAATTTAACCCTAAAATGGTTATTGATAATTAGATTTTTAATGCTTTTTAAGCTCAAAAAATGATAGTATTATACATGAATAAATACGGTATTTTAACTATCATTTAGGGTTCATGCAGAAAGCTTTGTGAGTTCAGTGTTGAAACAACATTTATTGCATATATTACTGCTATTTTTCAATGTTCTGTTTCTTATAACTTCACTAAGTCACTTGTAGTGGTCCCAAAAATAACAGAAATAACTTTACAATGAACACAGTAATTACTATATGTGACCCCTCACATCCAACCATTAAATAAGTCRCCCAGTGGTTTGTGGATAAATAGCCAGCTGTAATGTTTGATTAAAACCTTTGCAACAACTGTACTTTGTCAAAATATAATTAATAAATACCTTATCTACAGGTTGTTTAAGTGAAATAACTGAAATATGAAGAACGTTTTGAGCAGTAGCAACAAAAAACATGATTTTGAGCAGAAAAACTTTACATTTTGATTTTTTTTCCTACTGGTACATCTTAATATCCAAAAATTGTTTAATGTTTCCTCTTTAAAATGACATCTAAATTTAGGATTCAGACCAAAAATCAATGGGTTATCCTGGTTAGGACAACACCTTTCTCTGGAACMGTTCATGATTTCAGGATCTAAGCCAGGAATCTGCAACTATGACCAAATTTAAATTAATTGGTCACAGTTTTAAAAAATAATTAAACCCATTAACTCTATATAAGCGTTCATTGAGAGAGAAAACGTGAACTTAACCTGATCCAGCTGATGTCTAACAGTGATGGTGGAACAGTTACACCCCTGGAGTTGCACCACTTCCTGATTACGTTGGAAGTCTTTTTCACCAAAACTGAACATTTGTTCCAAACTGATAAAAAATGGGAGGAAAACCACAAAAAAAAACTTCCAACCAAACCACTACAGATTTCATTTAGCCACTCAACTGTAGACGTAAAAACCAATATATTTTATTTGCTATAAAAGTGTGATAGAAATGACTCATTTATGATTTCATCTCCTGTCCCTTGCAGACCTAAAACAGCCCTGGTGTACAACTGCACGACCGGCGGCATCAACCCGTTCCACTGGGGCGAGATCGGTAAGTTCACCGCTTGCTTTCTTTAAAGTTAATAAAAGCCTGTCGCTGCAGGAGGATATTTATAGAGCGTTTTCGTCTGCTACTGCCAGCATCCTGCGATGCTGCTGTCTCCGTTCTGTCATCACAAATCAATAAGTCAGCGCTGTGACATGTTGTTGTTGTTGTGTAGTCTGGTCGTGGTGTTTTGTTGTGGAGCGTTCAGACGAGGAGCAGCTGCCACCTGCTGGACATGAGCTGGAATTCTTACAGATTTAATATTAAGTTGTATTTTTTAATGTAGAGGTCAACACGAGCTGAAACGTGCTCTCGGTATAAAAGCTTTTCTATTAAAATTAAGTCAAAATTCTGCTCCTTACACTAGAAATTTGTATTTTTTCCCCCCAAAGATGTCGATAAATTGTAATTTCAACAAAATGTATGTTTTGTTCTAAATTTACCTGATTATATTTTGGATGTCAGTTTGTGTGATTTAACTTTAATA